GCCCAGCAAGGCACGAGGGTGCAGACCCGAACTGTCTAGCTGCTGCTCGGGGGGGGGGGGCCTCCTCCTATTCCTCCTCCTCCTCTTCCTCCTCCTCCTCCCCCTCCTGTTCCTCCTCCTCCTCCTCATGCTCCTCCTCCCCTCCTCTCCTCCTCCTCCTCCTCCTCCTCCTCCCCATCCCTCCTCCTCCCCCTCCTCCTCCTGCTCTTCCTCCTCCTCCTCGTCCTCCCCCTGTGCTTGGGGGGGGGGGGGGGGGCGCAGCCCCGCTCGACGAGGTGCTGCGCACCATACCTCGCAAGGTGAGCCCCCTGTCAAGGCGAACCCAGCCGAGGCGACGAAGGCCCCGTCAGGTGGGCCCTCCCACGAATCCGTGCTTCAGGTGCGGATCGTTGACGCAGTCTCCGCCGCCGTATCCGCCGTCGTCGTCGTCGTCGTCTCCGCCGTCGTCGTCGGCGTTGTCGTCGTCGTCGTCGTCGGCGTTGTCGTCGTCGTCGCCGTCGTCGTCGGCGTCGGCGTCGTCGTCGTCGTCGCCGTCGTCGTCGTCGTCGGCGTCGGCCTCAGTGCTGACGCGCCTCGTCTCCGCCGCCGTCGTCGTCGAAAACGTCGTCGTCGGCGTCGTCGTCGTCGGCGTCGGCGTCGTCGTGGTCGTGGTGCAAGTTGCTCTGCTCGGGACTTGTGAGACGCATTGGCCACCATCACCCGCCCTCCACCTCCTGCGCCCGAAGCCCCTGTTCCTCCTCCTCCTCCTCCTCCTCCTCCTCCTCCTCCTCCTCACACCTCCCCCTCCTCCTCCTTCCTCACCACCACCCTCCTCCTCCTCCTCTTCCTCCGTCTCTCCTCCTCCTCCTCTTCCCTCTCCTCTCCTCCTCCTCCTCCGGTCCTATCCTCCTCCTCCTCCTCCTCCTCCTCCTCCTCCTCTTCCTCCTCCTCTCCCTCACACCTCCTCCTCCTCCTCCTCCTTCTCCTCCTCCTCCTCCTCCTCCTCCTCCTCCTGCTCCTCCTCCTGCTCCTCCTCCTCTCCTTTCTCATCCTTCCGCTCCTGTCCCTCCAGGAAGCGCGCTTACTCAGGATGTTCGAGGGATGCCCAGGACGCGACACATGCCATCGGTGCATAATTAGCGCCCGCTGCTGCGTGTCCACATCGGTCTGGCGCCATCCGCCCAAGTTGAAGAACTGGTCCAAGGCCATGCCTTCTGTGGGACACGCGTCGCCCAGCAGGCGTCGCACCACAAGGCAGTGAACTAGGTGCGCGAAGTAATTGCCCCACCTCGGGCATCCGAGACGGCAGCGCCTGCAGCCGCCGAAGCGAGAGCTGGCGCACCAACAGTTGCACCACAGGCGCAGGACGGCAGCCCACGCCCGCGGCTGACAGAGTCGCCCCACGTGCCGCAACGTTTCATGAGCGCGTTCGAGGAGAAGCCGATGAGGTTCTGGGGCAACTCATGGGAGCCTCCCATACCATCTTGTTGGCTCTTGCGAATCGACGCTAACTGTTAACCGACGCTAGTCGACGCCAAATTGACGCTAGTCGACGCTAAACGGGAGCTATCTCATCGATTACCGGACGCTAGCCGACGCTAGTGTAATCTAAAGACGGACGCACGAGGGTATACAAGGCTCTCATGACTTGCTACCGAAATTAACTGAGCGGATCGACCAGTGGTTGAGCTTCCTCCACGGCAGGGCTCGAAGCCACCCACCTGGCGAATCCGCGCGGCGCAGCTTCAAGCACTGCGCGGAGTGACGCTGCCAGCCGGCTCGCTGCGGGGACATGTGAAGAAATTGACACAACAGCTGCCGCATCACCTGTGCCCTGTGCCCAGGCTTGGATCTGGAACGCACCCCTGGCCTCGAACTGCACAACGCACGCCTTCGCGGCCACCATCGTGGAATCCAGGTCGGGGAGCTCGGCGGGAAACCTGGCGTCAACGAGGTCCTTCAAGGCGGCTGCCGTGGCCCAGTTGGAAGGACCAGGAAAGCGCCGACGACAAGACGAAGCCTCCGCAGACGTCAAGGTGGAGGCCCCAGTCGACCGACAGAAGCGATGCGCTCCCCGTACAGTCGGACTTGATTGGAGAGGACGCGCGAGAGGACACAATACCCTTCCCGAGGGGCACACTGCCACAGGAATGTAGGAGGCATGGGTCGCGAGACACAGGACACGAAGATACCCTTGATCTGGCAGGGTCGACCTACTAATCTGGGCCGACTGTATGCCTTTCTTATGCTCAAGAGCGTCCCCGCCCCGAGCTTCCCTCACTAACCAGCGCGGTCCAGGCATTTCTATAGGGGTCCTCTCCAGAGATGGGGGAACCAAAAGGTACGGATACCGCTACTCCCCTGACCTCTCCCGGGGTGCGTTCTGACCAGGATTTCGACGCGAATCCAGCGGTGGCGACGAGGGCCGCCCAGGAGGCCCAACAGGGGAGAAACGAGGGAGAGGTAGCGGCATGGGTACCTTCCCCTCCCCCCTGAAGAGAATTGGCCACGCCCGGGCCCCGCAGATGTGCCCAAAAAGTAATTCGCCGCAGCCGCGACGACCACTTCTGGCCCACCCTGACTCTGGATCCGCCCTACTTTGGGGAAATTCGCAAGTAGGGCTTGGAATGTCCGCCTTACTTGTGAAGCCCCGCTGATGCTGTGTTTCCACCCTACTTTTCTGTTGCTGCTTCCGCCCTACTTCTGCGGATTTCCGCCCTACTGCATGTTGGGTGCAGAAATTTCCGCCCTACCTGTTCGGCTTCTTGTAGGTGGATCTCCGACGCAATTTTAAGCCGGAAGAAAAGCCAAAGTAGGGCGGATCTGGAGTCAGGGCACGGCCGGCGGCCCCAGCTCCGGTGGCCTTCGTCGGCGTGGAGGCCCGTGGGCCCAGGCGCCGCCGATCGCGGATCGACGTCGCCGCCTCGCCCCCAGGGGGGCGCCCTGAGGAGGAGGAGGAGGAGGAGGAGGAGGAGGAGGAGGAGGGGAGGAGGAGGAGGAGGAGGAGAAGGAGGAGGAGGAGGAGGAGGAGGAGGAGGAGGAGGAGAGGAAGGAGGAGGAGGAGGAGGAGGGAGGGAGGAGGAGGAGGAGGAGGAGGAGGAGGAGGAGGAGGAGGAGGAGCCAGGGCAGCCTGGGGCAGGAGCGGCCCGCAGAGCGGCGCACCTCGGACAGGAGAGGTGCAGCAGCGCAGCGGGCCTTCCCCTGCCAGCGCGCGGGCGCCCCTTCCCCCCCGCGCGTGCCCCGCGCTCGTGCCTCCCAGAGGTCCGACGCTCCACAACAGTTTGAGCGGCGGGATCGCAAAAAAAACCGAAGGATTGCAAAAAAAACAAACCTTCGGCCAAAGGATTGCAAAAAAAACGAAGGATTGCAAAAAAAACAAAACACAAAAAAACGAAGGGTTTTTTTTTCAATCCTTCGGCAATTTTCGGCCTCCGGGGGCCCTCGCCGGGCCTCGGGAGCGTCAAGAAACACGGCTCGGGGCGACAACGGGCCCCCGGGGAGGTGGTCCAAACCTCCGGGGCTTCTGCATCGAACAAATTTGAGCAGCCGGATGTCTGGGTTGTGCTCCCTCTCGCGAGATGATCCAAAATGCTCCCCATGATCCTCGTCGGAAAAATGCACCGCGTCCGGGCGACGCCAAGTCTGTGGGCACGAGCGCCGTGGCGACGTCCCGCTGCGCGCCGAAAAATCGGTGCGGACTCTTCGCAACAGAGCTCCAGGCTGCGCAACCGCGCTCTGCTGCGGCCAGCACCATCGCGAGACCGCCTCCTCGCGGCAGCGGGAGACAGCCTTGCCATCCTCCTTAGAAGTAGGTCTGACAGGACGCCATACAAGATAGGAAACTGTCGATCACATTGCTCAGCATAGAGCGCCGTCGCAAGATTCCGCAATGCTCGTCCGTGATCAACGTCTCCAAAACAATTCCGAAAAGCAGGCAGCACGCGTTCGTCCCCACATTGCCCGTAACAAAACCACCGCCGATAGATATAGCTCCAAAGCGACAGCGTCATCCAAAAGGTGACGCACCGATGATGTGTCCAACGTGAGTAGTATGCCACTGCGCGTCGACACGGCGTACTTCACGAGGTGGTCTGCACCAACGTTCGATTCCTGAACCTGCCAATCATACCCACCCCAGACCCCCGACGTCGTGATTTTTTCACAACGTCGACCCCCAGAGGTCTGGACCCTTTCCCCGGGACCGGCTTTTCGTCCTGAGTCGTTTTTTGACGGCCCCGAGGCCCGGCGAGGGCCCCCGGAGGCCGAAAATAGCGCAAAACCTACCGTCGTGATTTTTTCACGACGCGCGGAGGTCTGGGACCCGAGCTGTCGTCCTTGTAATCATACGTGTGCCGGAATACCTATCACAGATCGCGCCTGACAAGATGATCGACCGGCTCGGGCGTGCCAGTGGAGCTTGCCAGTGTCGAGTGTACCAGCCCCGTCACTGTCCGACTGTCCACGACGAAATCCACCCTAAACCGCCTCGACGCTTGCGTGCAGAACAGTGCATCGTGATCCAGTCCAGGCGCCAACGGTGTGAACTCAAGGCCTTCCTCCCGCTCCATCTTCTGCTCTGGCTCCTCTTCCTCCTCCTCCTCCTCCTCCTCCTCCTCCTCCTCCTCCTCATCATCATCATCATCATCATCATCATCCTCCTCGTCCTCGTTCGTCCTCCTCCTCGTCCTCCTCCTCCTCTTCCCCATCCTCCTCTTGCTGCCTTCCCCTCCTTCTCAACCTCCCGCCGACCACCCTCCGCTCCTTTCCCCTCCTCAGTCCCCTCCCTCTCCTCCCCCTCCCGCTCTCCCCCCTCTCCCTCTCCCCCCTCTGCCTCCTCTCCATATCTCCCTCTCTCTCTCTCAATCTCTCTCTCTCTCTCTCTCTTTGTCCCTCTCTCCCTCCCCCCGAACCACACCTCACCCCCTTTGCCGCCCTGCTCCCTCTCCTTCTCGCCCACCACCCTTCCCATTCCTCCCCCTGCTCCTGCGAGAAGGCGACGGCGACGAATGACCCCGACCCTGGCGCGCCCGGCGGCAGTGCCGTCCGCTTTCGGCCTGCCGGGCGCCGGCGCCTGGGCGCGGCGCTGACGAGGCGGCTGTCCGAACCCTCGCCGGCTGCTCGGTCACGCGCCTCCTGCTCCATCCCTCCCGCCGAATCCTCCTGCAGGCCGCTCGACCTCATCACTCCTCATCTCCTCCTCCTCCTCCTCCTCCCTCCTCCTCCTCCTCCTCCTCCTCCTCCTCCTCCTCCCTCCTCCGACTCCTCCTCCTCCTCCTCCCTCCTCCGACTCCTGCTGCGGCTGCCGCTTCTGCTGCTGCTGCTGCTGCTGCTGCTGCTGCTGCTGCTGCTGCTGCTGCTGCTGCTGATCTACTCTCTCCGCTCCCTCCTTTTCGTTGTCCTGCTCCTCCTGCTCCTCCTGCTCCTCGTCCTCCTCCTCTTCACCCTTTCTCCTTCGTCCTCAACCTCCTCATGCTCCTGCTCCTCATCCTGCTAGGCAGCCGGCGTTCCCCCTCTCCTCCTTCCCTTCCCTCTGCGTCGGCTGGCGTTCCTGGGGCTGGCGCTGCTGGTCGGGCCGGGTCAGTCGGGAGAGGGTCGGGCACGGTGGGGCCGGAATAGCTCGGTGGCGCCTGCTACTCTACTTTGAGAGGGGTGGTGAGGATAAGCAGCAGCAGGAAAAGTAATTAGACGAGAAAGAGGAGAAGGAGGAGGAGGAGGAGGAGGAAGAGGAGGAGGAGGAGGAGAACGAGGAGGAGGACGACGACGAGAGGCGAACGAGACGAGGAGGATAAAGGAGGGGGAGGAGGATAAAGGAGGAGGAGGAGGAGGAGGAGGAAAAGGAGGAGCTGGAGAAGGAGGAGGCGAGGGCGAGGAAGAGGCGGAGGGGACGGAAGAACGACAACACGAGAAGGAGGAGCAGAGAGAGAGAGAGGATGAGCAGGATGAGGACGAAGACGAGGAAGAGGACGAAGATGGAGAGGAGGGAGGGAGGACCGGCGGAGGAGGAGATGGAGGAGGAAATGGTGGTCGGCGAGGACGAGGAGGTGATCGACGACGAAGAGCAAGAGAAGTAGAAGGACGCGGACGAGAGGATCCGACGACGAGGAGGACGAGGAGGACGAGGAGGTCCAGGAGCACAGGGGGGAGGCCAGAGGAAGGGCGACGTGAAGGGGGAGGAGGCCTTGCGACGACGGGACGGAATTGCGGGGCGCGAAGGGAACCGCCGCCTCCTCCTGCGCCTGGCCAGGGGTGCGCGGGCTGAGCGGCTCGTCGTGGATGCTGGCGGGGCCCCTCGGGTCCTCTCTCCGGGTGCGGGCTCGGCACCGCGCGGGGAGGTGACAGGAAGAGGGAGGAAACAGGAGGAAGAGGCGGGGGAGAAGGAAGAGGTACGAGGATGCGGGTAGGAGGAGAAGAGGAGAGGAGAGGAGAGGAGGAGGGCGCGAAGGGGGCGGAGGAGGAGAGGCAAGACGGGCAAGGTGGAAGGAGGGGGAGAGAGCAGGAGGGCAGGATGACGACTAGGAGGGAGCGGGAGGGGCGGGGGGAAGGAGGAGGGCGAGCACGGAAGGAGGACCACAGGACGCAGGAGGGGGGGGGGGATCAGGAAGAGCAGGCAGAGGAGGAGGAGGAGGAGGAGGAGGAGATGGAGGTGGAGGTGGAGGAGGAGGAGGAGGAGGAGGAGGAGGAGGAGGAGGAGACAAGGAAGCGGCCAGGGGAGGAGAGCACGGCGGCCCGAGAGACGCGTGTGGCACGGCAGACGGGCACGTGGCCACTCATCCCCACAGGGGGCACCGCCTCCGCCCTCCGCGCGGGGGCACGGAAGCAGGCTGAGGACAGGCGCGTGATGATGAGGACGGTGACGGTGATGGTGATGATGGTGACGATGACGGTGAGAATGGCGATGGCGCTGATGCTGATGCTGACGATGATGCTGTTGATGATGATGATGATGATGGTGATGATGATGATGATGATGAGAATGATAGTGATGCTGATGATGCTGATGATGAAGATGCTGATGCTGATGCTGATGATGATGATGATGATAATGATAATGATGATGATGATGATGATAATGATGATGATGATGATGATGATGAAGATGCTGATGCTGATGATGATGGTGATGATGATAGTGGTGATAATGATGATGCTGCTGATGATGATGATGATGACGATGATGACGGTAACGACGACGAGGACGTTGGTGATGATGACGATGACGCTCACGATGGTGAGGATGACGATGCTGCTGGTGACGATGTTGATGCTGATGATGATGCTGATGCTGATGAAGGTGATGATGATGGTGGTGGTGCTCGGTATGATGACGATGATGATGATGCTGATGATCATGATGATGATGATGATGATGATGATGATGATGATGGTGGTGATGACAATGATGAGGATTGTGGTAATGATGATCACGATGATGGCGATGATGGTCGTGGCGGTGATGCTGATGACGAAGAGGAGGACCAGAAATGGGAGGAGGGGGGACCAAACGGCGAGCCGCGTCAGACTACACCGCACGCGTCCTGAGCTCGCGGAGCAACGGGACGGTAAAAATGAGCACGCGCCCCTACCGGAAGACGAGCTCAGGGAAATGCAGCGGCTGACGAACGCAGCCTTCGAGAATAGAGCAAATTTGAAAGAACAAAAAAAAAAACACAACCTGATAACATTGCAGCCAGCACGCCCTCCTGGAAGCCACCTGCAGGCAAAATACCGCGTGACAAATCACGGCCGCACCGCTTGGAAACAACATCCAGATAAGACGCAGGAGAAACTCATCACCTTATTGGACGCACCTCATGTTCCCCTGCGTGTTCCGCACTGAGGATCAACCAAGTCCCGACAACCTGAACAGCAGGGTGGAAATTCCACCGTGGAATTGATAACACCACTGACCGCGGGTGGCCCAGACCAAAAAATGCGTGTACCACCGCGCGGCTGAACCTGGTGCGCGTGCCATGGACTTGTGTGGGGCGCGGAAATGCTAGCATGCGCTTCAGGCTCTGAGGGCATCGTTATATATGTATGTATAGACACACACACGCACACACCTGCATATACAACTCCACAAACAAACACAATATACCAAACACTCTACTCAACGAGCTTCTCCTGTCTCGTCATCCGACAGCTGCTGCAAAGACGAAACCGCGGCAGAAATCAGAGTCCCCGCAAGCGCCGATTGAAAGCACTGGACGTGGTTTGGAGCCCATCGCGAAGCCAACTGCTACGGATGGGACCCCGGCCCATTGACAGGAGGGGAATACGGGGACGAAGAGGAGGAGGACGCGTGATGGGGCGGAAAACGAGAAGGAGAAGGGGGGGGGGGACGGCTGCCCGCTCGTTCTCCCCACGTCGGTTCAGGCTCTCCATCGCGCACCTGGGGGGAGGGGGATCAAAAGGGAAGGTCGAACAGGACAAAGAGCAGGAGAGGAGCAGCAGCAGCAGCAGCAGCAGCAGGAGGACAAGAGCAACAGCAGCAGCAGGAGAGGAGGAGGAGCAGCAGCAGCAGCAGCAGCAGCAGCAGCAGCAGCAGCAGCAGCAGAGAAGCAGCAGCAGCAACGGCAGCAGCAGCAGCAACATCAGCAGCAGGGGGAGGATGGCGCAGCCTGGGAGCGCGAGCGGAAACCGCAAGCGCCTCGGCCACAGAGGAATAACCCCCCACGACTGGCTCGAGGGGGCCATCGCTCGCTCTATCGAGAAGGCCCACCGACAAGCGAACGGCGGTACATGGGACCAGCGGAGGGGAGGGGGGCCATCCGGTGAGTTGCAGCACGCGATCCTGCCAGGTGGCAGGGACCGTATTCGACAGCCCTCCCCCACCGCTAGTCCGAAACGAAATCAAGAAATGGCCTCGCCCGTCTTGGGGTCCAGCTTACCCGCAGCAGACTTGATCTTAGGAGTTTGCGAGGGCTTCGTTTTGGGATGTGTGCCCCTGCCTTTCAAGCTAGCAGGAGGGGGAGGGGGAGGGGGAGGAGCGAGGAGCGAGGAGGAGCGAGGAGCGAGGAGCGATGAGGAGGAGGGGGAGGGGGAGGAGGAGGAGGAGATGGAGGAGGAGGAGGAGGAGGAGGAGGAGCACGCCGAGCAAAACAGGACACGACCAGATTTCTCCACTTCGTGCCCGAGCTCCGCAAGCTCCTCGAGCACAGCAACATGAGGTTCAAGCTCCTGGGGCCCCAAGACCTCCTCCTCCTCCTCATCCTCCTCATCCTCCTCCTCCTCCTCCTCCTCCTCAATCCCTCCTCCTCCTCCTCCTCCTCCTCCTCATCCTCCTCAATCCCTCCCTCAATCCTGGGGCCCCAAGACCTCGCTAGCAAACCTGACAGCAACCTGCACCGCCTCGGAAACTATGGAGACGGCCTGGGCGCCAACGAATCTGAATGACCCGCGCGCCTGGAGTCTCTAATGCCTTGATGGGAGCGCAGCTTCGACGGCTGCCAACTCGCGACTGCGCGAGTGACCTCCGTCCGGGCCAACAAATTACACTGCTTGCATCTCCGCCCACTCTGAAGTAAAATAGAACATCCCGTGTTCCAGCAAGACCGTGTTGGTTTCGACCCGTGGTTTCACACAAGGGGATGGGATCGACTCACGCCCTTCGGCCAGCGCAGCCACAATCTGCGAAAAGCGGAATAAAACATCAAACTGCTGCTTGATCTGTCCGAGGCGGCCTCGCTGCAGGTCATCGCGCGTCTTAGTCTCGGCGACGCTCTCAGACCCGATCCTTGCAACAAAAACTCCGCCCACAGATTTCCAAATGACTGTTCGACTTCGATCTGACCGGCGCCGCCTTCAGAGACGAGGGCACGCCACTCACGGTGAGCAGGAGTCCAGACAAACGAGGGGCGCGCAGCTTCGAGCCACTCCACAGCTCAAACGCCTTCATCCATGTGGAATCGCGCAAGGCCTGGCCTGACGCACTCTCGGGCGACCACGAGCCAACTTCCCTGACGGCACTCAGATGGTCGGAAACAACCTGGGCAGCCTTCAAGCCGTAACCGCTAAAGGT